TGACAGTGAAGAGCTGCCCCATGGGCTTTCTAGGCTGTGTCTCTGCAGGAGCAGATCATCATGTTTTTAACTCAGAGTCGCTGGAAGCAATGAGACCTCTGCCCTTTGAGCTTGCAGCTGAACACATACTGATGGTTATGCCACCAGGCTCCTTTCGGGACTCCTAGGTCTGTGTAGAAAGCAAGCAAAACTGCAATGGGCTCACAAGACCCAGTCAGCAAACATGCAATGAGCTTATACAAGTAAACTCAAAACGCATCACCATCAAATCAATTCCAACTCATATCAATCATTTAGGGCAGGGTAGAACTGGCCCTTTGGGTTCCCAAGACTTTTAGTCTTTACAAGTATAAAAATGGAGTGGCTGGTGGGCTTGAACTGCTGACCCATTGACTACCAGCTCAGCACATAATCCACTATGCCACCAGGGCAGTCATTCAAGCACAATGAGGGAGTGGTACATGGTTTAAAATCAGGAAAGATATGTGTCAGGGTTGTATCCCTTCACCAAACTTATTCAGTCTGTAAGCTGAGCAAAGAATCCAAGAAGCTCTACTTGATGAAGATTGGAGGGATGCTTATTAACAGCAGGACTGGAGGAAGGCTTATTAGCAACCTACAATATGCAGATGATGCAATCTTGCTTGCTGAAAGTGAGGAGAACTTGAAGCATTTGCTAGTGAAGATCAGGGATTACAGCCTTCAGTATGGATTGCAACTCAAAGTAAAGAATACCAGAATCCTCACGGTAGTTAACATCATGATCAACAGAGAAAAGATTGACGTTGACTGGGATTTAATTTGCTTGGATTCACAGCCAATGTACAGGAAGCAGCAGTCAAGGAATCAAATGTCTTATTGCATTGGGAAAATCTGCTGTACAAGACGTCTTTAAAGTGCTGGAAAGCAAGGATATCACTTTAAATACTAAAATGTGCCTAATCCAGATCATGGTATTTTCAGTTACTTTGTATGCATGTGAAATTTGGAATTGATTAAGGAAGATGAAAAAAAAAGAAGCTATGCATTCGAATTAAGGTGCTGGTGAAGAATATTGAGAATATCACGGACAGCAAAAAGTAAACAAACCAAGCTGTCCTGGAGGAGTACAACCAGAATGCTCCTTAGAAGCGAAAAAGGCGCGACTTGTCTCATGTTCTTTAGTCATGTTGTCAGGAGGAACCTGGAGAAGGACATCACGTTTGATAAAGTAGAAGGGCAGCAACAAGAGGAAGGTGCCAGAGAAGATGGACCGACACAGTGGCTGAAACAATGGGCGCAAACCTCCTCATTATGAGCTTGGCGCAGGACAGGGCAGTGTTTCGTTTTGTTGTGCTTAGGGTTCCTGTGACTCAGAACTAACTAGCCAACAACAGGCCTATGTAAATGGTCCTCTGTTTAAATATGTATATACACACACGTGTGTGTATCGCCAAGAAATTCATACCCACCACCACCACTGAGCCCCTTTCTTTCTCCTACCAGGCTGTCAATAAGGGTGACAAATTCCACAACTGGTGTTGTTTGCACCGAAAGAAGCCATCCATCAGTAGCAAGTTTCTTTAATCATTGTTATTTACAATTTTTCATCTGACAGACCATACAGAGAATAAATAAAGAACAGAAAATATACAGTTAGTATCATGTTTCTTTGTCTAATACAGAAATTGTGTATGTATTCTATTTTGGAATGACTGCGATAGTTTTAAGCAGAAATTACATCGCTTCTCTGCTTAACCCTTGACAAGCCTGCAGAATAAGGCCTGGATGTTTCCTTATCACAGTAAGGGTCTACCACATGACTTCGGAAACTCAGAGAAGAATTCCCAGACAGGAAGTGAATATCCTGAAGAGTAAAGACTTTACAAATGGATAGGCTCGGTTCCAAGTTCTGGTTGTGCTTGTTCCACCTGTTACCAAGCCTCTTTTCAAGATGACCTGCCTCCCTCCCTTCCCCCACTGAAAGTGATGACCTTATTCCATTTTGCTTTCTCCTGAATCTCTTGCAGATGCTTCCTCTACTTGCTGTTGTGGGGTTCTGCTGCTCCTCCTGGAGAAGGCTCAGCTGCTGTTAGCTGGGTAAGGCGTCTGCAGGAGACATCAGACAACTCGTGTCGAGTGAACTGGGTTTGGAGCCAGAGTTGGTTGTCGATAGAACGTGCTGTCTGGAGCCACCTCATACTCCTGTCTAAGTACCCGGGAAGAAGGAAGCACTGCCGCAGAAGAGTTTCCACCTCGGGAAACAGAGTATGTCCCCAGACACAAGCTTGGGCACCTTCTTTCCTGATTTGAAAGTAAACCCTCTGTACTACAGCACAATCTTCTTTCCTAAATTCACCCCATTTGTGATGGAATGCTTTAAAAAGAAGCCCTAGTAATATAGTGGGTTATATGTTGGGCTGCTAACCACATGCCAGCAGTTCAAATCCACCAGCTACCCTCAAGGTCAAGATGAAGCTTTTTGCTCTCATGAGGAATTACAGCCTCAGACATCTAAAAAAGCAGTTCCACTCTGTCCTCTGGGGTCACGATGAGTCATCAGGTTGATGGCAGTGGACTTGGTTTGGGGGTGCTGGATATCAAGTTATTGTTTGCATCTTTTATTCCTGCACATGAACAGGCAACGGCCACCAAATATTTATCGCACTCCACTATATGCCAGGGTAGACAGTGATGAACATGATTATAATCATATAACTTGAACAGCACAGCTTAACGTTTTCAATCACAAAACTCAATGCTGTAAGTCACAAAACTGGAGTTTCCGATTTCTCCCCCAGAGAACTGCTGCATTTTCATTTATTTGGTGCAATCATATGTTTGTTATTCCTTTTAAAAGTAGATGTTCAGCAAATGAAATTTCCATTCTGAAAACAATTATCACCCATTCAAGATCAACACCATGGTACATACTTATACTCCCTCTACAAGCTTTGACTTGCACTACAGCTTATTCAGACATTCTCTCCTTGTCGAGACGACAACTCACACTCATTTCTATGACCAGGAGGATAATATAGAATTTTCTTCCAAATACAGCTAGTTCTCTATGCAGAAAGCTATGGGCATATCTCACTATCTTTCATGTAGTTCAATTTCCCCGAAGCTTTTTCTTGGGTTGTTTCAGATGCCAAATAGCTAAGCTGGTTAGAAAAAGTAGAAACAACATAGACAGGCTATTGCTCATTGAAAAAGAGATAGATGCATTTGATATACTCTCTTTGGTGTTTGATAGCATTGTGACCTTCCTACTGTCTGCAAGCAGGATCAGGTTACAAATCAGAAAGGGTTCTGAAGAGTATCCAGCAACCAAATATGTGTAGTTTGTTTATTTAATAGTATTGTAACTTTGCTTATCTTCTGGATTTGAAATTGGACTATGATTATATCAAATATTGTTGATGGAAAAAGCTCATTCAAAGGTCAGGTGACTCTGTCTTGGTTTGGCAACTTCTTAGACTCCTACATTGTTTCAGAAGAACATGTTCAGCAAAAGTCTCCAGCAACTATAAAAGTGCTCATCACAAATGGCCACCTCCAGTCACTTCAAGGAGTGCAGCTAATTGCACCCACTACTAGAAATGGAATCACCATTCGTTATTCCAATCTCCTTCATCTGACATCAGTATTTCAAGGCATTTGCCAGGTGGAAGTGACCGTTATCTGTTCTCATAAAAATGTTAAATTTTAATTTAGGATTTTCCAGCAAAGATCAGTATCTCTGCCTTTCAGAAAGATGTAGGGGTCAACCATACACAATGACTTAGACTCTCAATTCTGAGCCTATGAATTCATCCTAGAATCAGAGGCTTGGTAGCCATCTATTGGGGTGATCTGGGTTCTAACTGTCCTTTTCTTGACCACCCCCACCCCCGCCCCTTAGTTTAATATGAGGCAGATGCTGTTCTGTTTTAGCCTATTTCCTTGTAACATCTTCATCTCTTTGGCTCTCTTAACATTCCCCTCTTCTCTTCTCCTTTACTCAAAACGCATGACTTCAGCCCACGTCATGGCTTTCTTGGGGGAACCCTGGATGGAACTGGAAAGCACAAGTGTCCAGCATGCCGCATACCTCTTTGTGCAGACATCAGACAAGAGTTAGTCTTGCCTCGCTTAACCCTCTGGCTTCAATGTTTGTCTGAAACCATGGCAAGCACAGCTGTAATGTGCCCAGGAAAATCTACTCGAAATAGATTTTATTAACAGGAGGCAAAGAACAAAACATTGTTTCCTGAACGACCATAAATTCCCCATCTCTAGGTCTCTGTTTCCAAAGCAGGCCAGTTCAGGCAGGGTTGATTTCTTCTTCCCATCCTGATCCCCAGCACTGAGATGGGCTAGCTAGAATACACAGGTGCTCAATCTTCCTCCTAATCCATTTCCTCTGACATGAGAAAGTCATTTTTATATATTTTTAATATACATGAAGGACTTCTTCCTTAAAACTCTGAAAGGCTCCCTTCTTTTTGTAACTGTTTCTCACTTTTCATTTCTCAGTATTTTTATAATAGCCACGATCCAGAATTTCTTTCTCTTCTCTTCCTGTGTACCGTTCATCTTCAAAGCACTTCCACTTTTCTACCCTCACTCATTTCTCGGCCGCTATGCTCCAGAACGGATCCCAGCAGTCCCAGCTAGTCCTGCGCCCCCTCTGCTTGGCCTCTCATGGGTCTTCCCATACATCCTCCATGACTTCTTTCCTAAAGCCCTTTTCTAGCCTCCTTCCTCAGTCGTGTGCACCTTCACTGATTCCTTTTCTCACTCCACTAGCAGACAGTGCTCTGCACTAGACAGTCTCCTACTCTTGAAGATAATTATCCCACCGTTTGCCTTTAGGGCAGTGGTTCTCAACCTTCCTAATGGCCCTTTCATACAGTTCCTCATGTTGTGGTGACCCCCAACCATATAATCATTTTCATTGCTACTTCATAACTGTAATTCACTGTTGTGAATCGGGCAACCCCTGTGAAAGGGTTATTCAACCCCTACAAGGGTCGTGACCCACAGGTTGAGAACTGCTGCTTTAGGGGCTTTCTTTCTCTTCCAGATCTTTTCGATTCACTTATGTGTTTGGTAGCTCATAAGCTTTGAGCCTAGGAATAAAGTGTGAGTTTACATCTTGAGCAATAAAGTGAATTTACATCTGACCATCAGAAACACAATTTGGGCATAAGAGTATTTCACATACATCATGGAGATGATAACATATTACAAAGGCAAGGCAGTTTTCCATCCCTTTTCTTACATCTTTAATTAAAATGTTCTTACTTCTAAGCTACTTAAAGTAAGTTCTGCATACTAAGCTTGTTTAGCTATGTTGCTAAACACTATAGGTATGCCTAGGCTGTAAGTTAAACCTGTGTCCAACACAGGGATCTCAGTGCCAGAAAAGAAAGCCTTTCTTATCCAAAAAAAGGAGAACTTGGCATGATAATGCATATTTGGTCGCTACCTGGATTCGATTACTTTTATGACATAAGGCCAAGGAAATCAGGCATGCTAAGCTCATTTTAAACATGATTTTTTAAAAAAATATTGGGTCATGGGAGATGGTGAGTAGAGGCAAAAACAAAAAGAAAAGAGGAAAGAAGTGGTGAAATGGTAGACAAAGGAAGAGGACATGAAATTGTTTTCTCTTGCCACATGACAAGTCATGGCATGGTCTGGATGTAACCCTACCAGATGTGAATAATGGGTAAAGGAGCATAGGTTGAAGGACCTGATTTCAAGTCCCATTAATTTTAATGACCTGAACACTTATCTTGAAAGCAGAGAGTGACTAGAGCCAAGGTATAAGACAACATGGCAGCACTTTCTAGTTAGCAACTGGCAGGTGTAAGGGAACGTACCAGGTAAACCTTGAAGCACTATATAAATGGCAATGACTTCCCTACATTATTTCATTTGATGACCCATGACCACAAGCAGGAGGTGAGGGCCACATCCACTGTAAATCCTCGTGTCCAGGGAGCACTTAGTCACATCCGAGCTAGAGAGTTCAAGACCATCTGATCTAAGTTTACATTCTACAGTGAAGCAAGCGAAGACCCAGAGGGGCAACGTGACTTGCTTGTGATGATACACGTCTGGAGGCAGAAGTAAGACCCAAACTCCTGATCCCCTGCTCTCTCCAAAGTTAGTCTGGGAAGAAATAGAGCCTAGCGTCGTAGCTCATAGTCGAGAAAAGCTGTGTCAGGCTACAAAATGAATTTTGAGGGCTCGGGCTTTCTGTTTGCGCAGCGATCTGTGCGACACTGCAGGCTGGATGGGAGAAACACTCAAGTTGCTGAGAGACTGTGTAGAAGGTGGACTTTTTGAGGGGAACGAAAGCAGACCTCAGCATCAAGACCATTTCTTCTCCGCTTGGGGGGTTCATCTGTAATTCTTTCTACTTCCTCCTCAGCAGGGACCGAGGGTTTCCTTTTACTCCCATGACTCTGAGAATTTGTGGAGGATGGAATCTCTGAGTCTGTTCTAAGGAGGCTCTTACTTAATAGTGTTTTTATTTCCATGAATTCTGGAGGAAAAGAAGCCAGTGTCTCTTGCTTTCTCTACTGATTATATCATATGTGAAGAAGAGTGTGTGTACTAAGGAGTACCCTTGGGTGAGTTTTCTTACCATGCATGCTCTTTGCCTCTCCACAATCAAAGGCCCGCCAGTTAGGAGGACATTAAATAGCATCTCAAACACCACCTATCTTGTGTTGGAAAGTCGATAGGTTTCTTGCATAGTTCTCCAGTCTTTAGCTGAACTTCTTCAATGACAAAGCTCTCCTCATCTCTGGAGCAGGTCCATTCATCCTTGCGTGCTCTGACTCTGCCTGAGATTTTACTCACAGGGAGTGGAAATCAGTATCCTTATAAATTCCATCCAACGCTCTTGACACTTTAGGGATACACATAACAAACCTATTCCCTTCGGTACATGGCTTTCAGCTATCTATACTGACGAAATCCAGCCGATTAGACCCACTTAGCTTTCATCTGTTAAAAGAGCTGTAATATTAGAAGGTGAGCCTAGAGGGCCTCAGTTAAAGATGTCAAAATACCAATCTTTACCAAATCCATAGGGACTCCCATTAAAACATACTTCAGAATGTCTGAGCAAGACAAAGAGGAGGGAGGACCCCCTACAGGCATCACCCATGAATACTTGTTACCCAGCCTTTGTAGACCGTCTTCCCTACATGCATGCTATATTCAAGAGTCCTTCCATCATAAAGTACTTTGTTGTTGTTGTTTTGGATAAATGACAACTTGTTCTACTTTATCGAGCCACATGAAAGACTCTCTTAACTATCCATCTACCCTACATTTCATCTGTGGACCTCAACCTGGACCCTATCATATGAATGAACAAAGCAGGCATTCCACAGAAGTTGGAGAAATGCTGAGAGGTTCTCAGACTTGTCCAGTGACCCAATTAGGAAATCTCCCATGATTCATTGCTGAATATAGTTTCCTTGGATTCCTCACCATCGACCAACTACCTCCGCTATGCTTGAGCTCATGTATCATTAGATATTAGTATCCTTCAAGTTTCTATCTACATAAATATGATTTAAAGAGCGAGCAACATGGAAAAGAATCATAGAATCTGCACATTTATAAATACAAGCATATTTAGCCTTTATAAATTATGTGAATTTTCTAGCCTTTGTTATCCAACATTTTGATATATCAAGTAAGATTTATTTTACTAGATTTTCTCTGCCCCTGGCTTTTTTTTCCCTCTTTCCTTCTCTTTTTTTTTTCTTTCAGTTTTTCTATGTAAAAAAAAATAGTGCTGGTGAGGGGATGGGAAGTGAAGTGAGGGGAGGAGAGGAACAAAAAGAAAACAAGCTTCAGTCTCTCGGGTCCATCTAATGTCCAGATGGAGTGGCTTAGGTGTGGATGAGTGGTAGGTCTTGTGAGGGAGACCAGGTCTGTCAAAATGTTGGCACCACTGACAGCTTTACTCGTCCCCTTGTTGAAGGAGCAGAAGGTGGATTTCCTGGAATGATGGGCGGTGTTTGGTGTCTCTTCTCCAGCAGCTGAGCATCAACTTATACACAGAGTCAGGACAAATGGCAGGCTGAGGGAGGTAAATCTTTGGAAACAAACAAACAGAGTGTTAGTAAGGAGAGAAAAAGGAAGAGGCATAGCTGTTTGATCTGATGGACTTGCTGAGTGTAGTCGTCTATGATCCCTACTCACAAAAGTTCTCAACGATATTATTCCATTTTCCCTTCCCTTTGTCCTCTCTAGTTCTCCAGTGCAGGATTTCCTCATAGCCCACCCATGTTGAGGCCTATTTAGTTGAGTCAGCTCATGGCAGGGGAAGGAAGAATTGTAGTTGGCTCCACTTGACAAAAATAAAATATTAGTCAGATGCCCATCCTGGGATGTAGAATGTATCCATGTAGCCCTTAGCCATAGCTCTCTGTGCCTCTCCTCTCTCCAACGTATTGGCCCTGTCTAAAAGAGATTGAGTTTCTATCTGCATCATATACCAGTGTGTGTGTGTGTGTGTATGTGTGTGTGTGTGTGTGTGTGTGTGTGTTCTATACGCAGACTGCCAAAAGAACAAATAGATTTGTTTGGGAAGAAATACAGACAGTCTGCTACTTCAAAAAGAGGATGGTGAAATTTCGTCTCAGGTACTTAGGACATGTGACTAGCAGGAAGCAGACTCTGGAGGACATCATGGTTGGTAAAGTTGGCAGTGCAACATAGGGAGCCCATTCACAAAATGAATTAGTACAGTGGCGGCAACAATAGGCTCGAATATAGTAACCAACAATTATAAGGGTGGATCCTAGCACAAATGTACAGGGTCTCCACAAGAAAAATGCTATCTTATTGGCACCCAAGTGACAAGAACCAGGAAAATAACTCCTCCTGCCTACCACACACTGCCGTCATCTCCTTACCTCCATTTCTGACACTCTGCTATGGCAACAGTTCTGAACCACACCAAATTCCTCCTGCTCCTTGACCCATGGAGCCATGTGTCATCGTGGCTGGTCCAGCATCTTTCAGTGATTTGATTATTCATTTACCACTCCCCCTGCCCTATCTCCTCCTGCCTCAACACTAGCCTATTTCATGTGTCATGGGAACTGGACTTTCCTCAAAGTCTGTTTATTCCCTTTGTCCATCAACTCTTAATTTACTAGTAAAAAGACAAATAATTTTGACTTCTTTTGGAATACCTGATGATATCTGCCAAGTCTTAACCAAATACATTACAAATGTATATGGCTATAAGAGCTCAAGCATTTGAAAGAAAATATTGCCAATGTAAACAGTGGTACAGAAAAATAAGTACTGTCACATAATACTGATGAAACTCAAAACTGGTGGCCCTTTCTAAGATATATGCTTAATTACTTTAGAAAGAATAATCTATCTACCAATTTTGATCCCATGGCTATCAATAAAAATCTCAATGTTAAATAATTTAAATGATTAAAATTGTCTTTTCAAAATCTTATAACTTAGTAAACAACTGAAATTATTTGTGTGATAAATCTTATACTTGCAAAATTCCATTACTGTTTATCACATTAAACAAAATAAACATTAAAAATATTTTTAGTTACTTTATTCCATTTATGCCATAAGCTTTAAGAAAAGTGTTCTTGGGGAATGCTTCACATTTTGTGAATTAAAATTGAAGATAAAAATGTCAATCACATTTTTTAAAATACTGTAATTATTGCTCCCGACTTCCAAGTATTACTGTCAACTGAAGACAAAGAACTTAAGATTTGCCTACACCATGACTTCTAGGTATGAAATTCCTTGTAGAACTCATGCTATTGAAATGCTTCTTTTGCATTATATATGTTATGAGCAATAAGTTAGTGATATCCTTAGCTGTACCAATCAAAAACTAGCTTCACCATACATGTGTTATACAGTGTCCACACTATCTATCTAGCAGCTTATAGTAAAACAAACATTTAAAATTTGAAAAATGAAATGGTAATAATAAAAGTTAATAGCAGTTAACTATGTACTAATACATTTAATATTATATTTACTTAGTTAATGAAGTCATTTCACTAATTCTTTGGTAAAATGTTCTACCTATGCTGATGGGTAAGAAGCATATTCAGCATATAATGGTAATAGTTAGCTTAGGCACTGGCTTTGGAGTTAGTCAAATATTGGACTTGGCTACTCAATGATATGGTAATTATTTTAAAGGGATTCTTAGTGAAGGTGAAATGGTGAGCTGTTTTAAACTAATGATTTAAAAATAAAATAACAAAGATAATTCAAATTCATTAGAATATTAAAATGTTTTCTTGTGGAATTGACTAGATATTTGAATAATTAACGTGTAACCTTATCTCTTTGCCATCAAGTTGATGCTGACTCACAGTGACTCCATAGGCAGGGTAGAATAGCCCCTGTGAGTTTCTAAGAATGTAACTCTTTACATCTGGTGTTTTTGAACTGCTGACCTTGAAGTTAGCAGCCCAATGAGTAACCACTAAGCCACCAGAGCTCCATAGTACTAAGTAAAAACATATATAACATCAATAATAATTTAAGTAAAACAGTCAGTGAACATAATGTTGGAGCCAGGGAGAGTATGCTGAAAATCGTAGTTAACAATTTTTCCCCCATAAGGTTTGAGTCACTGAATAAGAAGTTGAGGGAGACTCAGAGTCTTATAACATCCCTCCCTTTGCCTACAGTTCCAGCATACATTCAAACTGGGGCCATTGTTATGATGAATATTAACTTTTCTATTGGCCGTGAGTCATTTTATGGGTGCCCCTGAGCTGGTATATATTAAACTAGGGGAAACATTTTTCCTTGACTCACTGGCAATGTCATGCACATTGGAGTAAGTTTGCCCTTTGCCATAGTAAGAAAGAAATTGACAAAAAAGCAAGGCAGATTAGTTACTGTCTGCTACCAAACTATCTATAATGATATATTAAGGTCGAATTAAATTCTGACACCCTTTTCTTGTTGTTCAATCTAAATGTTGCATTATCTCCTGCTAGTCCTTTGTCTCTTGCTTGCTTGGACTTATTAAAATGACCAAGGGCTATGCTGTATGAAAGGAGAGAAGGCGAAAATGACCAAGGGTCTACCTTTTGTTTTCTGTAAGATCCTTCTCCTCTATCCCAATTGTTATGATATCCCTGCGTGAGTTGTTATACTCCAGGGGAGTGCTACAGCAGGGCCAATTGAGGTAGATTCAGAGTGAGGCCTCACGGAAACTTTAAAAACTTTACTATCCAAAGAAATCGTGGAGTATTTGAACTAGGTCTGGGGACTCCTTGACTTCTTGAGTACTCAGCTCTCCCTGAGTCTTGAATAGCAACACCAGCTGTCTCAGAAGTACACAGACTAGCTGTGAACATGCATGCCTAGAAACAGAGCTACACAATTCATACCAATGCCGCATTAAGTATAAAGGCATTATTCTAAAACAAATGTGTATACATATTTTATTGACTTTTGAGCTTATATTTGTGTATGTATATACACATATATAATATTAGGAAGATTTAAACCACACAATCTAGAACAAGAAATAAAAAAACAAGAGAGAGAGAAGATTTTGGTTTCCTAATACTTTTGATCTAGGGGACAGAAAGAAGTCTTTCTTTCCCTTTAAAAAAAAATCATTTTATTAGGGGCTCATACAACTCTTATCACAATCCATCCATACATCAATTGTGTAAAGCACATCTGCACATTCATTGTCCTCATCATTCTCAAAACACTTGCTCTCCACTTAAGCCCCAGCATCAGGTCCTCATTTTCCCCCTCCCTCCCTGCTCCCCTCTCCCTCATGAGCCCTTGATAATTTATAAATTATTATTTTGTCATATCTTGCCCTGTCCGACGTCTCCCTTCACCCGCTTTTCTGTTGTCCGTCTCCCAGGGAGGAGGTCACATTTAGATCCTTGTAATCGATTCCCTCTCAGAAAGAAGTCTTATGGGCCACTAATGGTCCTAGGTCTTTCACTTAATTCAAATAATTAGTAACAAGTGACTACCCTCTATGTGGTTCAGCTTCTATCACAAGTTGATCCTGCAAAAGCGAGACTTTCCTATCTCTCTTCTCCAAGAGCACCCAAGCCCACATGCATCTGTCCTCCACAGCTCTTACCTGCCTTCCCTGGTCTCTGAAGAACTCGCCAGTATTCTCGATGACCTGTTCATCTGACAGCTGAGAATAGGGCTGCTCCTGGCAAAAGGTGAAAGTCTCCCACAGTGTCACACCAAAGGCCCACACATCACTTGCTGTAGTGAACTTGCCCTAATTAAATAAGGAAAATAAGAGAAAACCAGAGTGACTCATGTACATTGAGAATAGGTTAGATTTTCATAAGCTAGGGTTATCATTTCTCAAATGCTTGCTAAGAATCCTGACCTTATCAAGGGAAAAATATAGGACAGAATTTCAAATTCTCATAGAATCCAGGATTTTGGGAATCACTGAGACTGGATGAACTCTACCCACCCCAAAAACCATTGCCCTGAAGAAATTTTTAAACCTCAAACCAAAAACATCCTATAAAGTCTTCTTTAACTTGAATAGTAAGTTCGATTTTTTTTTTAATAAGTATCGTATGAGTTCAAGTTGACAATTGAAACTCAAAAATTGAGGTAGAAGTCAGGGGTGAGTTTATGGTAGTTGTGGGTGAGCAATTTGGAAAAGAAGGGCAAACCCTCTGTAGGGTAATATAATAAAATTTTTAATTTTTTTAAATTGAAAAAAAAACTATATAAAACCATAGCTATATGATGAGGTTTTGATGGATCAGGTATCAAGCATCAAAGGCCCAGAAGAAAAAAATCATATCAATGTGAATGACGGGGAGCATGGGGTGGAGACCCAAAGCCCATCTGTAGACAATTGGACATCCCCCTACAGAAGGGTCACAAAGAAGAGACGAGCTAGTCAGGCTGCAATATAGCACGGACAAAACATACAACTTTCCTTTAGTTTAATGCTTCCTCTCCCCACTATCATGACCCCAATTCCACCTTACAAATCTGGCTAGACCAGAGCATGTACACTGGTAAAGGTAAGAGCTTGAAAGACAAAGAATCCAGGACAGATAACCCCCTCTGGATCAATAATGAGAGTAGTGATACCAGGAGAGTGACGGAAAGGTGTGTGGGATGGGGGAGAGGAACCGATCACGCTGATCTACATATAACCCCCTCCCAGGAAGTCAGACAACAGAAAATCAGGTGAAGGGAGACAGTGGTTGGTGTAAGACATTAAATTCATATATATAAATTATCAAGTGTTCATGAGGGAGGGAGGGAGGGTGATGAAGGGGGAAAATGAGCTGATACCAAGGGCTCAAGTAGAAAGAAAATGTTTTGAAAATGATGATGGCAACCTATGTACAAATGTGCTTGACATGTGGATGGATGGATGAATTGTGATAAGAGTTCTATGAGCTCCAATAAACTGATTTTAAAAAAATAGATATATGAATGGATATGGGGCTCACATTTAATTCTAGACCCAATCTAAGAGCAATGAGTTCTTATGGCATGGTTCTGCTCTCTGCTGACCCTCATGAAAAGATCATTGAAGATATGGATGCTATAGTAAACTGTGGTAAAGAAACCAAATGGTGCCAGGCTATCAGAAAGAATAGCATCTGAGGTCTTAATGGTTTGTCTTCAAACAAGGAGCCATCTAAGTGAGGCATTAACTGTCAGTATGGAAGAAGCACTCCAGCAAGTGTGATCCAAGGATTATAAATAATAAAACCCAAATGCAAAGGAGGTTATGGTGTCAGAGCTTAAATTGTGAATTCTGAGTTTGCAGAAACTATAGATGACAGTGGAGCCCCAAATATATTTTCAGGGTGCCCACATGGATTAAGTTTCCAATGAATTTGCTCTGACCATATTTTAAAAGTCCAAAACTCACTGCCACCCAGTTAATGCTGATTTCTAGTGACTCTGTAAGGCAGAGTGGAACTGCCCCCCTGTGAATTCTGAGATTGCAATTCTTTCCTGGAGTAGAAAGCCTCATCTTTCTTCCATGGAGTGGTTGGTGGTTTCAAACATCAGATCTGTGGATTGCAGCCCAAAGCATACCCACTATGCCACCAGAGTTCCTCTCTGACCTTCTTTAAGGGACGTGAATAGCCTTGCTATCAGACAGAGAACACTGTAAAGTCAATTATGGCAGATGCAGCTAGGTTAATATGTAATAACCTATTATTTGATCTCCCTTTTGACCCATTTTAAAATAGCTTCAATTTTTAACATTTCTGTTTTCTCTTTGATTGAGTATTTTTTTGTTTTGTCTAGCAATTGGTGCATTTTTTTTGTTTGCTCTGTTTGATTTTGTATAAATGCATTTTGTTTTGTATGATTTTCTGTATATGAAATCAAGGACAGGTCGATCTATAGAAACAGTACCAGGATTGGGATATCACAGGGGGAGATGAGGGAGAGCAGGGAGTTAGCAACAATGAATATGAGAAGAAAATGTTCAGAAATTGTTTGGGTGATGACTGCACAAATCTCGTTAATATGACTAAGCAATTAAATTATATGCTATATGAAATATATGGTAATAAAATTCTTTTTAAAACTGATGATTGGCTCTGTAACCCTTCAGCTAAATCACAATTAAAACGTTTTTTTAAGAGAAAAAAAGAATTAGAAAAAAGAATTAAGATATATGAAGATCTTTGGAACACAGCAAGTGCAGTGGGAAGAGGGCAATTTGAAGTCATAAATACACAAGTAAAAGAAGAACCAAGACCAACACCCTAATCCAACCGGTGCAACAATTAGAAAAAGAATAGCAAAGTAAGTATATAGGCTTCAGAAGGAAAAATAAACTCTAGTGAAGAGAAAAATATATAAAGAATCAACAAACTAGAAGTTCATTTTTGAAAAAATTAATAAAATCAGCACCTACTGGCATATCTAACAATGGAAAAGAAGATGCAAATAACACGAATAAGAAATGAAATGGATGACATCGCATCATAACCAATTGGAAATAAAAGGTAAATAAGTGAATATTGTGAAGAACTGTATTCCAATAAATTTGAAAGTCTAGAAGATACGGACACATTTCTAGAAACTTGCTTCAACTAACACAGGCTAATGTAGAGAACTCTAAAAATTCCATAATAAAAGAAGAAATTGAACAAGTCATGAAAAAAAAAATACTACCAACAACGGCTTCACTGGCAAAGTCTACCAAACATTCAGAGAAGAGCTGACTCCAATTTTACTCAAACTATTCCAGAGTATAGAAAAGCAATGAAACTCCCAAATTCATTTTATAAAACCATCACTAAACATCACTAAAAGAGAAAATTGTAGACCAATATCCTTCACAAACATAGGCACAGAAGTTCTTAATGAAATTGTAGCCAAAAATAATCCAATGACATAAAAATAATCATAATACATCATGAGCGTGTTAAGTAGAGTTCTCTAAGAAGCAAAACCAGTAACTTTTTTTTTACCAGTAACTCTTGTATATGTATGCATATAGAAAGAGATTTAGGTCAAGAAAGGGCTCACAAAGTTATAGAAGTGGGTTAAATTCAATCAGGTTCAAGTTCATGGGTCAGATGTAAACTGAAAACTGCTTCTGACTTCTGTAACTATAGACACAGAAGAACAGGAAACAGGAGGCCCACAGGCTGGTGAATGGAGAACTGAATGCATCTGAGATCAGCCAAATGAATCCAAGGTTGGCAGTCCACTGATGGCCCCTAGGACCAGCAGGTGGTATAACAGGAGGTGGAGAACCAGATGACAGATCCAAATCCAGCAGTAGAAGTGAACTAGCTTCCATACACTGTCAGTCTATACTAAGAGAAAGTCACACTCCAAATGAAACCTCCTTCAATTGTAGCAACAATGTTACCAGTTTAACTGCTTGGTTGCTTCACAGAAAATCCCATCATAGAGTTGCCAACACTATGTTACATCATATCATGGGAGAAACTTGGTCCACCCACGCTGACATAAATCCTAGCTACAAGGACCCAAACCAAACCAAACTTACTGCCATTAAGTCATTGCTGACTCATAGTGACCCCTGTGGGTTTCTGAGACTGTAACTATTGACAGGAATAGAAAGCTCAGTCTGTCTAGCCCAGAGCTACTGGTGTTTTTGAATTGCCAACCATGGGAATTGCAGGTCAACACGTAAATCTACACCACCAGGGCTCCTCTCACAATGACCGAGTGGGATTCATTCCAGAGATTCATTCCAAGGAAAATTCAATGTAAGAAAAGCAATCAGTGGAACCACCCACATAAATAAAACCAAGTCAAAGAACCACAATGGGAAAGATCATTTGAAAAAGTCCAACACTCAATAAGACATTCATCAAAATCGAGAAATTCTTCAACATAATTAAGGGCATACCACTATAAACTAGAGTTTATAGTGACTCGAAATTAATAGGTATACAATGGCTAACATTAATCTCAGTGGAAACTGAAGGCATTTCCCTTGCAAATCAGAATCAGTTACCTTTATCACCACTCTTATTCAATATTGTGCAGAAATCTTACCCAAAGCTATAAGGCATGAGAGAGAAATCAACGGCATCTAAATTGTTAAAGAATAAGTAAAACCTAACTATATTGCAGATTATATGACCTTATACATTAAAAAAAATCACAAAGGCTAAGCACAAAAATTCCTGGAACTGATTGAAAGATTCAGTAAGTGGTAAAGTACAAAATCAACACTGAAAATGCAATCAGATTTCTTTACACAATGAGGACTCTGAAAGGGAAATCAGGAAAATTATACCATTTAAAATAGCCACCCAGGCCAGCCCCAATCCCAACTACATGGACAGCTGTCCCTCCCCCCAGAAGAATTTATTTCAGAGGACAGCACTGAATCTACAGCTCCGGGAGAGGGACATGTCTGCTCAGAGCACACGGGAGCAAATGAAGGGGGAGGAAGAGAGAGTGGAGCACATCCTGGCCCACCAAGCCTTGAGGATGACATTCCCGCTCAGAGTAGCCAATCCACAGAGAAGACCATATGGCTGGCCCCACTATGAGACACGACATCCCTCACTGACCCATAGCCCTATGGGGCACAACACTGGAGACACAGTGAGGGAATTCCACTGGATCTGATACCACCACACCGAGGCAAAACACTAAGGGCATGGAACAGAACACCAAGGGGAGCAGAGCAACAAAATCCCCAGGGAATAACAAAAATAGACGTTGGGGCCAGGGCTTGGCACCCCAACAGATTGGACTGGAAAACACTCCTAAAGGCCAACA